TAGCATTCCAAAAGAGCACAAAACCAGGTCTGAATACTCTTTTAGTATCCACTTATCTGTGAGCCAGGGTATTCCTCACACAGCTGTGATTTTTTTTTTCCTATTTAATAGCTTTCAGTGTATTTCTTTTGATGAAATACACCAATCCTTTCAAGAATTCATGGAAGTATGTAAAAAGATTATTACCATCCACAGCATCAGTGGTAGAGAGTTGGTAAATAAATCTCCTTTCTGGTTTTCAAACCTGGCACCTGCTAGTTTCATTTGATAATATTTACATTGTAAGACAAAACAAGCCTTTGCTCTTTGCTATTTTTCTATATGGCCTGTGTAGACCTTTGCCATGTTGGTTGTCTATTTTCCAAAATAAAGAGAAGTTGTGAATTCAATTATTTCTTTCATGGAAGTAATCAGTTGCCGTCATTGCTGTGTATACCTTTTCAATTTTACCGTATCCTTGAGATGTGGTATCAGAAGAGAGAGTGTTCTAAAGGTCCTGTGAGCTATTCATCAGTGTGTTGATGGGTTTTCTTCATAATAATTATTTCAGTGTTTGTGGGTTGGTTTCTGACTATTATTTAGCCTCGTACTAACTTTTTCATAGAAATATGAATTGTAAACCAACTTCACATCAGTGTCAACTTAATTCATCCAATAAATCTATACCACTTGCAGAATATTTTAGTGTAAAGACATGATCTTTAAAACAGGTTATTGAAACCACTGCAAGTCTGAATCTGTTCCTATTTTTCTTGATTTTATGTCTCTTGAAGATGTAAAAGGGCAAACTGCTGTAATGATTTTCAAGATGATGCTTTTTAAATCTCATTGGTTTTGTGTGCATAGGATATAAGATAAAATCTGTATATGGTCATTTTATACAGATGGGCATGCAGACAAGGATTTTTTAGTTCTTGAAGAAGCCACTTTGTAAATGTGACAAAGAGCAATGTTACTTTAAAAAAATTTCCTTGAAACTACAGTGGCATAAAAGCAAACTTTAAAATCTTGATAAATCTTGGTCTATTTTCCTATTTTCTCAAACTATGGAATTGTCTAGTCAGTAATCACACCTGAATGTCTTGAGTAAACTTGGAAACTAGGATAGTTCATTGTTTCATATGTGACTGGTCCAGGAATTCTTCAGAAATTTTTACAATCTCAGCTGATCTAAGCACATTAAATGAAAATGGTATTTAAAGGAAAAGCAAAGAAAATGTAATTTATTGCTTATAATATTTCTTGAAATTGTTTGTTACACAGAAGGTCCATTAAAATGTGCATAAATATAATTTACGACCTTTTGCAGATGAAGACAATGAAGTTCTGAGTTCTCATAGCAACATGGAGAAAACTAGGAATAGAATCCTTGGTCCCCTGACTCCTTCCAGCTTCCCATCCATAACTAAAGGTTAGACACCTAGATTACTGCTTTATCTTCCCCTATTCTCACTTTTTATAATGAAGAAAATATTTGGAAAATGCAGTTATTTTCAGGAATGTGAGGAATATTGAAAAATAGCATTTATAAAAATTAAACAGCAAAGAGAAGTAAGATAGTAAAGAAACAATTGGGATTTTTTGATTGTCTTCAGGCTTTAGAACTTTGCTTTTCAATACCGATGTCATAAAAAGAAGACAATATACTTATTTAACTAGTTGTTCATATTGATTCCATCTCAAGTATAAATACACAAGAATGAATAAATAAGGATAAAATCAGACTATTTTGGCTGTCAATTGGTCATTGCCATCTGGTACCAACATATACATTGAGATCTGCCTTCATAACATGCTGCTATTTATGGAATCATTGCTCATTCTTTTTTTTAATCACACGCAGCAGTGAAATTGAATAACAGAGGAATTGGTGACTGAGTATTACTATGTAGTCACAGGGTGTCTTCCTCATAATAAAGGATGAGTAGTATCATGATGGATTCCATTTACACAATATTAAAAGCTGGGATTTTTAATGTTATAATAAATTTTTACTACTGAGAAGGAGGAATTTTGTGCATGTATTTTTAAAGAACATTTACAATTCGTATTAGCAACACACCAATACTAAAATTGCAGTAATTTGTTTGAGGCTTGTCTGGACAGTATTCTACAGTTCAACTACATTATGCCTTCAAAATATTGTTCTTGCCAGTAGAGTGCTTTTTACAGTGTGATCATAGAAGAGCAAAAAGTGGGAGAGACCTATCTGAAGTATTTCCCTCCTCCATGGCCTAAGAAATTTATGGAAAACTAATACATTTTTTAAAAGGGAGCCCATATCTGAAGTCTTGTTTACTTAGGCAAATGAAATGCAAGGGGTGTGGCTGGTGCAGCAGACCTATCCTTGTATATTAGCTGCACCTTGGACTGGGTGTTTGACTCGCTGTAGTGGCCAGTAGGCAATGCTTAGTGGAAAGAATTAAGAAACAGATGAAGTATGAGTTGATTTTCTCAGTATGTATACACAGTGCCAACAATAATTCCAGCAAAATTGTGTGAACTCAGCCTGAGCTTGTCTGTAACATGAAAGGGCAGATTTTGCATCCAAAGAATCAGGTACTGCAAAAATGTGAGCAGTAATTCAGAGAGGCAGAGCAGCAGTAACAGTGATATAAAAGCATAAAACTGCTTATCTATTGTAAGGAGCGATGCATGAATTATGTTCAATGGCAGAAGGTTTGAATGAGGAGTTGACTGAAGTTGTTAACGGGGTCAAAATCCATGAAGTGAAGATCGTGTGGGTTGCATATCCTGGGAATTATGAATGTAAAAAAGACAAGCTCCTTAAATCTGTGTTGATACCAAAAATGTTCAGGTTGAGTTTCCAGGAGATAGAGAAATAGGAGTAATTTATAACAAGGTAGACACCTGACACCTTTTAATCCTTGCAAGGATTTCTCTACAGGATATTAATGTCAGGGAATAGTCGCACTTACCATATCTTTTTTTTTGTTTTGATGCAAGTTCTGAAGCAGTTCTAAGGTTTTTCTTTTTTATAGCTTCCAGATAACCATCCTAAAATTCTTCCTGCAGAATCAAACCTAGCACTGAACTATGTCCAAAAAGGGCCACTCTTTTGCTCCAAAATGTCAGAAGCAGTAAGTTGAGGTGTACATGGTGCTATGGAGAAATAGAAATCAATTACTTTTGCCAAGGTGGGTGGGAAAGGACAAATTGATAGAACATGGAAGATGACACCTTTTTCTTAAGAAACTTATTTCAACAAAAATGAGTCAGATCTTTCCCCTTATAGGTACAAGATGGTGGTAAGGTAAATGAAAAAAAAGAACTGTGAAGAAGGAAGGCTGCTTTTCTGTGTATGCAGAGAACTTAGCAAACGTGCAGCAGAGAATTCTGTTTCTCCCATCCAGAGATGGAAGCTAGTGGAGTTGAAAAAACTTCACAAAATTGGTATTGAAAGATGAAGTGTTTATATTAGGCCATCACTCTTTTCTTGTACTGATTTTAACTCATGTGATGTATCTCTCAGGAAAGGAGCAAATAAAGCTTGTGGTCCAAACATCTAATTGAGGCTGTACTAAAATGGTTTGGAAATGTGAAGGCACATGTGCTGCTTAAGCATTGTTCAGATTTTCGCCCATGTTAATCCACCAAGACTGGAGTTTGCAGCTATCCCATGCGAAGAGCTTTCTAGGGAAACAAGAGGAGGCAGTAACTGTGACATTTAATGTCAATAGTGTTGTCACAATGGATTATAAATTCTGTCCTTATTTCTCTAGTTAAATATGGCCCAGTAGTCTCTGGTTCTTTTTTGATGAATAAATGTCATAGAATCGCAGAAGCAGAGAATGGGTTAGGTTGGAAGGCACCACAGCAGATCACCTCATCCAATCTCCCTGCTCAAGCAGGATCATCCCAGAGCGCATTGCACAGGATTGCTCCAGATGGTCCTTGAATATTTCCAGTGAGGGAGACTCCACAACCTCTCTGGGCAATCTGTTCCACTGTGAATTGCGATCCGGTGGGATTTGAGAGATGGTTCATGGTGGATGAGGATAAGATGGATGAGCCTTTCTTCTTCATATTGCTGTGAGCACAAGGCAGTTCAGAACACCACTACCCCCAAAAATGTCTTTTGTGTTGGCACAAGAGTAAAATCTATGTGGACAAAACATCTAGAAGAGCTAGATTTTGGCAGCAATGGAAGCATTCTGTTCATTAGAAATCTAAGGCGGCGCTGCCTTTGAGTCAAATACTTTTTGTGTAAAAGAAGTAATGTAAAACTTTGAGGTTCCAGGAGGGCTTATCTATCCTTTAAGTATCTATACATTCAGCTCAAAGTTTAATTGTTCCAGTTCAGGCTGCTGAGGAGTTTTAACAATTTAGCCTTACATAGTCCCACAAACAAATTAATATTCCTACTTCATCAGTGTTAACTTCTTCATGAGCTTTTGCAACATCTGGTAATATATTTAATTCTGACACTACTAAAAATGTGTGAGCACTTCTTCATTGTAAATAATCTCTATTAATTTTTTAATTGATTTTTTTCTCAGACATGAGAAAATGCATATCAGTTCTATTCCACTGTAGTGCTACAGTCTTTTGAAAGGAAGCTGCCCTAGAGTAGAGAAATGCTGAGTGCTGAGCTGCTAAAAATATCAGCACCAAGCTTTAGCTTACCAGTCCTGCAAGAAAATTAGTCGGCCATTGTGTTTGACATCTTTGGTGCTTACTAGCTATAAGATAGCATTTTTTATGTTTTCCTGTGTTTTCCTCTTCCTGTTGCTAAATAATTCCACAATTTTTTTCCTGACAGGCGGATATCGGAAATGACACAGGTAAGCAGCTTTTTAGGTTAAAATTCAAAAATAAGTCTCTAAAAATACGTCTCTATATTTTAAATAAATATATTAATTAAGTTTGTAAAGACATATGGATGGATTATAGCCTTTCACAGCAATTACTGATATTTATTACCTTCCAACAATTTTAATCTATATAAACATTTTTATTACAGAAGAAACATTTCAAAAAACCCATCTTTATTATTTGTCAACACAAATGGAGTTTATGTTAGGCAAGTAACCCATGCCTTGTGTTGATAACTTATTTTGTTTTAATGTTTTTGTATTGGTGTATTTCATGACAAAGAACTAGATTCTTTACTAATAGCAGTTAATAATTGCTTTATGAAATCAGTTTTCTTCTGTAACTACTTTTGATTTTAATGAATGTTGTACCATTCTAGCTGCCTCTTGTGAGATATTGGGCCTTGTGTATAAATTTATTGATCTGAACGTCATCTTAAGTAATAATCTGGCAAGCAAGCAATAACAAAAAGGCTGAGTAAACAGTAACTATCAAATGTATGCAGCTAGTTTATGCATATCAAAATCCTTAGTTTTTTATTATTGCTAGTGTTCTGGCAAGCTTGGAAAACTAACATCTAGGAGTCTGCTGTATTCTGTATTCTTCAAGAAACATGTTTTTTGTGCATTTTCTTCAACAGTTTCATCATATTAGAAAGAAATTACATGTAAGTCTTTAAATTTACAAAGTTCTTTTACTCTCTCACATGACTGCCACAAGGAATTGAAAGATGATGTCATTATACCCACTGCAGTATGAAGTAATATGGACTCCAAGTTGCCTACATTGATTGTGTTTTATAAGGAATTAATTCATTACAGGTACATAAACAAGTGATGTGAGGTTAAAGTGTGTTGTAAAACATTATCACTTTTTGGAAGTAGATTTTAAAACTGCTGGTGAGGAAAACAGTTTGTAAGAGGACATGTAGTCAAATTGTTTGGTTCATTTTGTGACAGATTGTTCTACATTACATTCTAAGGAATAGTTGTTTGGGGTTTTTTGATTTTGTTTTTTGGTGGGTTTTTTTGTGTGTGTGTCTCTAGTTGTTTTGGTTTTTTGGAGCTTTTTGTTATTTTTTTTAAAGAAAGGGAAAGATGAAGACAAAGGTGCTGTCACTTTTTACTCCGATTGATACTGAATAGTGTGTCACTACAGATCTATGTAGACCTGTGAAGGATTCAAGATGACTAGACCATAATGTCTAGTCATCTTGAATAATGTATTCATCTGACTGCAAGAAGTGAAAAGCTTAAAACAAAAGCACATTCAGATTTATTAAGGCATTTCAAGGACCAGTTCTGTAAATAAGGCAGGAATAGTTTTCAGCAACTGCTGATGAAGACATGTTTTTTTCTTTTGTATGATCGTAGCTTTAAGGAAGTTAAGCATAGACAGGAAATAAAGAGCAAGCATGAGTAAATGGAATCAGTATGTTTATGGTTTCAAATTTCATCTTATTATGGTGAATAAGGTGGTGGTGACTGATCTGCAGCAATTTTGTCATAAGCTGGTGGAGCATCAGATACCTGTGGTAAGGAAAATGGATGTGAAAGATCAAAAAAAAAAATCCCAATTGAATTATAAGGAAAATTACAAAAAAATTACATTAAACACACAGCAAGTTATTTACCACCATATTAGATACAGTTCTATGACTTAAAGAAGCCAAACTCATTCATTGTGTCTATTTTTTAAGGTTACTTTTTGGTAGTATGTTTTCTGGTTTTGCATCAGATTCACTTATTGCTGTTTTTCATCCAAAGAGAGAATTTTCAATGTTAAAAAGGCAGGAATAATTTTCTTATTTATATGGAGTGGTTTTAGATTGATAATTCAGAGAAATATTGAAGGTTTTAAGAGTCTTGATGCAGGCATATTATCGTATTTCTAGTGATAAAAATTTGAGCAGCTTATTTTAAATAAGAGGTTAGCCTCTTCTCAATTCTAAAGCAATTTAAACACACCCATTTATATATACTTATCACTTAATTTACCTTTTTGAAAATCGAAAGTTTAAATATAATCATCTTTCTGTAATGATTAGAAGAGCTAACACATTGAAGTTTTATAATATTCTCTGATATTTCTCATCAGAGTGTAGTGTGTACAGACACAATTTATTTGTTGTTTGTCTGAATGGTAGAAAATCAGTTAGGGAGATGTTTGGGGTTTTTCAGTATATTTCAGCATTCCGGTGTTGCATCAGTCTAATAGATTGCAAAATGATCATACAACTTAAGAATAAATATAAATTGAAGACAATAACTTTGAAGTAAGCGTTCTAAATAGTAGATGTAATTTTTTTCTTTAGTTTTTCACAGTACAAATTTTTCCAAATACTACTTTCTAAGTTGATATTGAAGCATGGAAGACTCAAAGTATGAGAAAATACACCATGGGAGAAATCATCAAGTGTCTGTTTAACAATATTATCTCACCATGTCTTACTCAGTTTTAAGTGAGGTCTTGACTTGCAACTTACCACAGAATTAAAGTCTCTGTAGTCCTGCAGAGCCATTTTGCAGTCCAGTATTTCTCCCTCACCTACCACGCGTCGTATTGTGCTCACACTAGAGCTTTTGCTCTGTGACAGATCATAGAGGAATATGGGGGAGGTGAAAGGAAGAAGAGATTGTGAAGTTGGAGCAAAATTTGACAGCCCATATACAGTAAGTATTAGAATCTGGGATTAGACACAATGCAAGTAGGAAAGATACCTCATCTAACACTTTTTGCTGTCTCTGCTGAGACATATGTTCTCTCTCCTGTGTAATCCAACTACATTGACAGAAAAATAAGTACTGCATTTTTCAGACTGATGCAGGAATTGACATCTCATGTAGCCAAATGCCTCCTATTTTTTATGCCAGCTATTCCTTTCCTTAATCTTGAACCTTTTTGTTTTCCATTTTTTCAGCATTTCTTTTGTACACATTCTGTACCAGTTCTCCCCTAGCCAGAAATAGCCTAAGAAAAAATTGATTTTCAAAACCAGAAAGTAGAAATTTCTCATTAGAAGGAATTAAAAAACAGATTATGCTTTTTGCCAGGATATGCAAAACAGACATTTGGTTTGATTTTTGAAGGGGTTTTTTGAGTATTACCTTAATTTTTTGCAACATTTCTCTATGAAAGTTCAGCTTTTAGGTACTCTGCTGGTTGATATATGTGTTGGATAGATAACTGGATAATTGGATAGAAAAAGACTGATACAAAGTTACCAGAAAGAGCAAGGAAATGGATTTGCTGACTTAGATGAGATCTTTGCTGGGTTTTTTAGTTGCAAACAGTTACTTATATCTCCTTCAAAATATTAGGTTAACTAAAAGATACTATAAGACACATATTTGCCTAAAGCTTTGTCTTGGTTTCAGCTGGAGTAGAGTTCATTTTCTTTTAAACAGCTGGTACAGTGCTTTGTTTTGGATTCTTTATGAGATTAATGCTGGTAACACAATGATTATTTGGTTTTTGTTCAGTAGCTCTTGCTCTAAGTCAGAGATTTTCAGTCGCTCGTGCTCTGCCATTGAGAGGATGCAAGAGAAACAGGGAGGGCTCCTGGCTGGGACACCTGACCTGGACTAGCCAAAGGGACATTCCACACTGCAGAACATCACGCTCAGTATAAAAATAAGGGATTTGGCTGGGAGGGGCTGATTGCTGCCAAGGAATGGACATCAGTTAGAGGTGGTGAGAAACTGTTTTGGGCATCACTTGTTCCTTTGGGATTTTAGTCCTCTCTTTCTCCCCTTTTCACTATGATGATCATTAGTAGTAGATGATTATATTTTGTTTCAATTACTGAGCTGTTCTAATTTAACCCATGAAGTTCACCTTTTCTTTCCTATTCTCCTCCACACCAGGGTGGCAGTGGGAAATAAGCAAGTGTCTACACAGTGATTAATTGCTGTCTGGGGTTAAACCATAACAAGCTTTCACTTTAAAGAATTAAAAAAGACCTCTCGTTCATAGGAGATGGAGCAAAACTTAAAATATAAAGCTTTAGAACTTCTAATAGCAGTTGTTATGAGACAGATTGTACCTTTTTTTAAAATAACTTCTAAGAAGACACAGATGAAAATATTTTTAAAGTAGTCTTAGAAAACAAATCTCAAACCCATCCCATTTTTTTTGTAAATCTAAAAATTGCAAATCAAATTTTGCATGGATGAATCTCACATCACCCATAGGTGAGCGTATTTACTTACTTTTACAATTACTTTTCTTCTTCTCTTCTTCCTAGATTTACTCTAATTTACCCCTTATTTAGGGGTAAGTCTTATGAACAGGGAATATATTACTTTTATTTAAATGAAAGGACACTGGATGTCTCTTCGTTTTGTGTAAATATAAATAGAATGCTTTCTACAAATATTTTTTTTTTACTGATCTTACAAAATTTACAGATAAGTTTTTTTACTGATGTGTTGTGCAAAGTTGGACAACTGGTTTCATGTCCCTTTGCTTCTGGTTCTTCTTACCCCTTTGTCTGACTTGCATGTTCTTTGGGGCAGGTTGTATTTCGTATGTGGTTTTGTCTGTGACATATGTCAGTGTAAATACTGCTTGAGATAGTGATGTCCTGTTACAGATGTGATGTTCTCTGCATTATTGTCATGCAAATCAGGGTAATTTGTTGTCAAAATAATAGCACGAGAGAAAATGAGCTGCCACACTTACCTGCAGACTTTTGTAGCCACTACGTCTTCTGTAATACCAGCAGCCAAAGGCAAGTAAAATTGCCAGCACCAAAATGAAAAGCCCAATACCCAGAGCTCTGTTGGGAAAGCAAAACAAAATTTGCACCACAACTAGATGCATCCTCCCAAGAGCAAGTGTGGTCAGACCAGAAGTTTGTGTCAGCAACTTTTTATCAGAGGAAGTCATGGAGCAGAATTTACCTCAGAAAATAGGCAAAGTATTAATAACTTCATTTAGTTTCTATAGATTAAGCTGTTAGCTAATTTCTCTACCAAGTTCTTAAACATTTTAAAAATATACTTATTTGAAAATAATTATCTACCAGTGACTACTAATTCCAAAAACATACCTGTCTGTAAGTCTCTCAAATCACAGCATTGTGATATTGCAAGTGAATGTGAATTAAATTAAATGCTACATCTGCAATGATGCAGCTCATGTTTCTTTGCTAAATTTCTTTGGGCAGCAAGTATTTAAAATGTATCCTAATTGCATCATATTGCAGCAACTTCTAATGAAGGAAGTTTTTTTTTGATGCATAAAACACATTGCAACCTTAAAACATGAGTAAGAATCTTTGAATTATTCGTAAAGAGTTTTATAAGGACTCAGTTCTTGCATGACATACCAGGCACATTGTTGCCATCACTGGGTCATTTTAGGGAAAATATGCTTTGCAAATTGTGCTCTAAAACACCCTTCCCTCACTGCTTCCTGGGGACTTGGCAGAAGCAGCACATTTCCACGTTACATCAAAAAAGCAAGCTGACAAAGTAATTTCAAATTTCCTAGTCACAAAAAGCCTTTCTTTAATTTTAATATCCTCCCTGTTGAGAAATACTGAATTCATTCCCCATTTTTTTTGTTCTTTCCCTGTTCAGGAACAGAAGAATATATTAAATGATTAAAGGGAAAAGAATATGGGGAAAAACTGCTATGTGAATCAGGATAAGCCCATTCTAACATAGACAGAGCTCACAGCAGTCACTTTCTGATGCAGCCAAAGTTGTGAGATGGCTCCGCTGGTTTTCCTACTCTTGCCAGCACAGTTGAAACTTGGAGGGACTACTTCTCCAGGCAACTGGTGCCCTCTCTACATTTTTAAACTTCTTGCTTGTCACATGTTGTTTTAGCTGTCCATTAGCCTATATGTCCCTGTCCTGGTGTAGGGCAAATTTAGGAGAAAACCCAGGATGTGTTTCTGGAGCTGGTGCTTCTGACTGCACATTTGCCATCTAACTCCTTCCTTAACTACTCACAGGCTAGTATGGAAAGTGTGTATGCAATTTCTTGCTGTTCCAGTTAAAGCTGAAGTTGTGCCACTAAGAATCTAGGGCTCATATCTAGAATACTTCTGTTACTGAAAGGAGAGGGTCACATAACTAGAAAAACTACTTACAGATACAGCCACAAGAATTCACAGCAGTTAGAGGTGAGCATGCCTAGTTTCAAGTGCTGAAACATGACTAGCCAGCTTTTTTTTTTTTTAAGAACTGAACTGCTTTGGATGGACTATTAGAGAACTTTCCCCCTTTTTTTATTCTTTTTGCCAGGGCTGATGGAGGAGCAGCTATCTTGCAGTATGAGTATTTGCAACAAGTCATTAAGTTTGGGGCCCAGTAAGCCAGTGCTAGCACAATGGAATTACTTGCCTTATGTAGTAAAACATCACCAGTTGGGTGATGTCTCTAATAATCCCAGACCAAATGTATTTTATTGTAATTCAAAGATAAAAAATATTTGGCAGAAACAATTTGGGAGTCATGTTTGTATGCCCCTGATGTTTTCCTCTTTTTTTTAACCATTTCTCTGGGGAGTTTCCACCATTCTTTAGGGTGAGAAAATGTCTCTTTGAGGTTCCTAAGAGAGGTCTGTGAATCTAGAGATTTAGGGTACAGATCACCTTGCAACAGTCTTAAAAGTAAATTCTAAATAAACCTCAATAAACCTGGTAAAGGCTGATGACTTGTGATCATATTATTTAACTCTAGATTCTTGAATTCTGCAATTCTGATTTTTCATATCATTGATGGCTCTCTGAGGTCGCCCCTTGAGAAACATTAGAGAGACCTATAAGATAGTTAAAAGGCACTCCATTTATATACAACAGTAAATTTTTTTGATACAATTTTCTGGTTTTCTTTCAATACAAATTCTTTCACCAGCTTGCATACTAACATTGGTTTTAGTTTACACTTACTCTTCCACTGCAAAATAGACATGTCCTTTCCCTCTAAAGTGGTTGCTGTCCTGATGGTTATATCTTCTGGGCATTTTGTGAGGTTGGTCCTGCTAAAACCTACAGGGTAGAAACACAGTGTGTCAGTGTGATAAATAATTTGTTACCATTGAAGCTTAATATTTTCAGCTTCTTTGTTTTAATGGGAGCATTTTAGAGAGGCAGGATAATCTGGTATTTTCAGAATCAAGTAGATTCCTATACACACACAACTAAATCCCAGTTTAGGATAAAGCTCAAAACCAGAACCATAAGTCTACATATTAGTATCATCACTGACATCAAGGTGTTTGCAACTGAGTGTAACACAGTTTGCAGAATTTGATGTGGTCTGTTTAGGTACCACGCAATGGCAGATTTCTAAAGCAAAATTGAGACTATAGAAAAAAAGTCAATTTTCCTGGACAAGAAAAACAATTTAGAAGAAAAAATAACACTGATACTAACAATAGTTGTTTTTCTATTCTGTAATTCCCTGTAAACACTCAGGGAATAGGTTTTCAGTCACTGAACACTCTCAGAGATCTGTTGAATTTCGATGGGAATACTGATTTATGTCTGCTGACAATCTAAACTCAGATGTGTAGTAATTAATTTTATTGTAAATAAAATTGTAATTTTATTTACAATTTTCAAATTCAATTTACAAATATTCCCAATCTTAAGGTGGTAATCACAGCTGTCTGAACAGTTAAAAATCTATTCAATCCAATATAGTGAAGAATAAATCCTCACATAATCATGTTTCTGTAATGTGAAGAGCACAACAGATCGTACTTGACTGTATCCCACTAATCTACCCACACTCTACAAGTAAATTAGAAAACACAGTGACTTTACTGAAGATAATTCTAGCCAAGGAAATAAAGCATATTGAGTTCACTTAGAGACAGTCAAGCCTCTTCTAAAGCATACTTTTTAAACAAAGCTGAAAACTTTGTGTGAAACAAAAAATATAAATCTTACCTCCTTCAGACCTGTATTCTGTCTGTTAACTGAAGGCATATGCAGCTTTCTGTTACTTGGTCTGTTTTTTTCTCCTTTGATCTGTCCTCTTATGACTATCACGAGTTTAAATTCCTTTCAGTTCGGCTTCTGAATGCATTAATTAGCATAAAAGGAGCAAGGAGACCACTTCTCATTTTATTCTGCATCCTTCCCTCTTAAAAAGTAGCAGAAAAATCTTGATTAATTACATGTGCTCTGAGAGACAGCCCAACACCTTTTTACCTGCCCAATTAGCACAAGCTCCTAGACTGGGCAGACTGTTTCTAGATTCAAACATGTTTTCATCTAAGGCTGCTTATATTGTTAGAGAGGACTGGTATTTTTGCATGTATTTACTATAGCTTTGTTTAAGCACTCTTTTTGCACCATTTTTAACGCTGTGCAATATAGTATATGTGGACCAAAACTCATTACCCTGTGACAGAAGTGTCTTAGATTAAGGTAAGTACAGTTTAATTCTATACTGAGAAGCAAATACTGCAACAAAAAGAGGGTACATCCCATGGGCTCCAGAACTAATGAAGCCTGGCCTTTGCCTGTGTTAACGCCATAGTAATTCCATTTACAAGGTCAGGCAAGAAATGGCAGCCTGTGATTGATTCAAAGGTCTGGGTATTGTGATACACCAGCAGTTAGTTACTGCCAAAAGAGCAAGGAGACAAAAGAGCCGTCTTCTGCTTGTCATTTGTTCTAATGAATCATTAATCTGAGCCTCTCTGTCCCTCTACAATTTTAAGTTTGAAGGATTAAACATTCTTAAGTTTTTACTTGTCTTTGAAGCTGTGCACAGGGCTCTAAATGCAGTGAAAATGGCTGACAGACTCAAGAGAAAATTCCTCACACGGGGCACCAGTTGTGGGGGTACCAGTCATTGGTTTTTCTGGGTCTGCATTGAAGGCACTTGAGACAGTAATTTGGACTCAAGTGTTTATTATTTCTTATCAGTCAAACAGTCTCACTACTCTGTTTGGCAACTTTTCATTAGAAGGCACAAAATGGCTAACAATCTCTTGTTACAAGGTCTTTTAAGACTAAACTATCCAATTAAGAACTGACACCTAGATTATTTTCCCTTTTAACCCAATAATTGATCCCAAAGAGACTGCACCACATAGTTTCTGCCCAATTACAAAATGCCACCCAAACCCAAGAAGAAGAAGGAAGAAGCAGCATGAAGAAGAAACCCAGGATGACACCCTGTACCCTCCATCTTGCTTCCATCCACAACGTACTAAAAATCCCAAAACCTAAATTTCTCACCAAGTGATAGACGTACACTACTCTCTATAATCTATTTCATACTTTTGTGGATTCTAGTCTATCTTGAAGTCTAGGAAGCTTTCTCCATGAATGAGGGTCAAAGTCAGTGCTCCCCTGGGGGTCAGAGCACCCCAGAGCAGACAGAGAAATATTCCCAGGGTTTCCACAGGAAAGAACAGACTGTGTGAGTGACCAACATGCATTTCATTAGCAAGTCAGATAAAAAGTATTAACATCATTAATTTTTAGCTAGGATGGGGCTGATTCTTGTATTTTTCCTAATTATGGTAAAAATCTGACCTGTCTATATATTTTTCCATGGTAGTGCCTAGAGACTGGACCAGAGGCAGTGACCACACTCTGAAACACCGCCTGTGCTCTCTAAACATCAGGAAACTCTTTTTTCTGTGAGGAATAACTGGGCACTGGTGCAGGTTGCCCAGAGAGTTTGTTGAATCTCTCCCACTGGAGATCTGCAAAAGCCATTTGGACAGAGTCGTGGGCAACCAGCTCCAAATGGCTCTGCTGCAGGGGTTGGACCACAGGACCTCCAGAGGTGCCTTCCAAACTCTGTCATTCTGTTATTAATGCCAGATCTGGTTGGTTTTGCTAGACCTGGTAAAAGTTTGAAGCAACACCGTTTTTGCAGAGGGGAAAACAAAGGGTACAGGAAGAATGAAGAGTGAGGAGCATAAATTTGATAATTTGGGCAAGTTAACCCAGATTAACTCAATAGGAATTTCAAAGGTGAAAGAGATGCAGGGAAGTTTCTGTAAATATCCGTGTGTGTAAAATTGTAAGTGGACGCTATCACAGTCTGTCAAGTTCCTAAGAGACATGCCAGCTCTTGTGCACTCTGAAATGTTGTAAAATTCCTTATCAAATCATGTGTTTTCGTGAAGAAAAGCTTCACTTCTGGAAGAGGATGATAACTGAAGCTTGCTTGATCAAGCTGCTTGATCTTGTGAGAATCAGAACACTAATAAGGGAAATCCACATGATTTCTTAATGTAGCAAAACCAGTCTCTGACCCTTACTTCCCTCAAGATTTGTAGGGTAAAATGTCAACTGCTTGAATATTATGTGTTCTGAATTAATCTCTTGTTAATAGTATAACAGGAAAGGGAAAAAAACCAAACAGCTTTGTCATGGATCTGTGGTGCCCTCTGGAATGTAAATGCAGAATGCTGCTATTGAAGATTTGGATGGATGAAGAGATGAAACACCACATCCTGCTTTTGATGGATCTTTTTACAAAATGTTATTTCTCTGATACCGTGCTGCTAACTCCGTCAGTGTAAAGTCACTAGGATTGACACATGGATTCTGAAGGTGTTATGTTTTCAAAGATAACTTTTCAGGAGTAGAGGATGGAAGAGGAGTACTTTGGAGAAACCCCAAAGTAACCCAGCTTTTTTCTTACAGCCAAACCTGTGGCAAATCCAGGACACTGATGAATCTTGGTGAAAGGTAGGAAATGAATGCTTCTGGTGTAACTAAAATAACAGGCCTGACCTTCAAAAAAGAATAGCTGTTAGTTGGTTTTGTGCTGTTGACATTATGATCCTGTCTTTCTAGGACAAGATTCTGAGATTTTTATTAATTTACTTCCTTTAATTGATAATTATTTTTCTCTGATATTTGAGGCTTCCTACAGCACAGTAGAGCAAAGTAAAACAAGTACAACCTGATTTAGTTTTGAATTTTATGGTAAATTCAGTGGTAACTCAGAGGTATTTCACTGCTAAATCTACATTACCAGTAACACAGTACAGTAAGAGAAAATAAGGAATTATATCCCTTTCAGTTTGTCCTGAGGATCCTTGTCTGTCCATGGTATGAGGACTTACTTTGAAGGAGGTATTATCTAGCTTCCATACTGAAGAACTCCACTATAGGCTGGATTTGAAGCTTTTTGAAAAGAAGCTATTCCTCAACTTGCTTCTACCTTGACTGCAGGCCCCTCCAGGGAGCAACATGTCCTGTAGACTGCCTTCACAAGCACCATAAATATGTTCATCCTGAAAGCCTGGTTCATGACAGAAACTTCCTCCTCAAGTAATTTCCAAATGAAGCTATGGTCCTTACTGTCAGACCCATCTCCCTTTGCTCCACCTCTGAATCTTACAATAAAGAAAGAATGGTAGTCTTAATCCTGTAGAAGCTGTGCCAAGAGGATGTCATGATTACAGTGGTGCCTTTGTTACTCTACCATGTTTTTCTAGAGAAAAATGTTTGAACAGCTTTCTGGCAGTTTTCCTTTGCTCCTACTTTGTCTGTGGTAAACTGGAGGTTCTCAGCCCAGGGCATTGTTCAGATTTGTGGGGCTTTCTCCATGAGATGCAGAATGATCAGCCATAGGTGAAAAACGTTTGGATGCAGTTGGGTGCTATCAAGGTGAGGTTGAATTGTTTCCCTTGCATGTAATTTCAGAAGGACATACCTGGATTCAAGAGAATGGTGGTGCTTTCCAAAGCCTCATGACCCTGTTTCCACTGAAACTAACTTTGCTAACTATTTTGGGGTGAGAAACTCCTTACAGGTGGGCCGCTGATTTAGGCCTCTGAGGCCATCTCTTGAAGAAAGTTCGTATAGTCAACACTGACTACATTCTTAGAACTTGGATCAAAAGGGTCCTTTGCAATAGGTTGCTCAGGCAGGTCACAGAGTCACCATCCCTGAAGATGTTTCAGAGGTGTGTGCACTGGGCAATGTGGTTTGGATTTAGATGTGACAGTGGCAGTGCTGGGTGGATGGTTGGACTTGATGATCTTAGAGGTCTCTTCCAACACTGATGATTCTGTGATTCCAAGTAATCCCTGTAGTAAGAGTCCAGTGAAATTTAACTTGGAATATTTTACTTCAGTTGCAGCTGAAGTAAAAGCAGTTCCAAAATGAATACAAACACTCAGTACTTGAGCTCTGGATATGAGGGGATCAGACTTCAGGCTGCTCAGGGAATTAGTGAGTTAGATACCCTGGAAAGATACCTGCTTTTGCAGGTGCTGGAGTCTGTCAATGCTGGTCACATTTTAACCACCATCTTTTAAGGGCATGGGAAGAGGCAATTCCCAAATGCCAGAAGTCAAGCAGGTGAGGCAGAAGATGGCTTGGCTGAGCAGAAAACTTCTTTGGGAGGTAGAGGCAAGAAAAGGTGTAGGCTCAGCAGAAGCAATGTCAGAAGACATGGGAGGATTACAGAGACACTGCTCCCCACTGCAGGGAGAAAATTTGTCATGCTGAAGCTAAACTGGAGATGAAGCTGGCCCCAGCTGAGGGGAACACTAAAAAGCTTTTTCAAATATATTAATGGCAAAAGGCAGTGTAGAAATAACATCAGCCTGTTACAGAAGAGGTTGGTTGTCCCAAAAACAGCTACATGGACAAGGCAGAGATGTTCAACACTTCCTTTGTCTCTACTTTCAACACCTGTAAGGGACAAAGGGGATCCCACTGCCTGGAGCTGGAATACCATGGCTATGAGAATGATGAAATCCTATGATCCTGAAATTGTACAAAATTTCACAGCTGGGTAAACACATCATGTGATGGGTGATCAACTGGCTGATGGGCTGCACAAAGACTTGCAGTGAATGGGGTGGCATCAGGCTCGTGACCTGTCACTAGTGGGGTTCCACAGGGCTCCACCTTAGTGCTTAAGTGCTCTTCAACATCTTAATGATTTGGATGCAGGACTCGAACACTAAGTTTGCTGAAGACATTAAATTGAGAGGAGCTGTTCACTTCTTTGAAGGCAGAGAGGCCTTGCAGGGCTACCTTGACAAATTACAGGTCACCAAACAAATGAAGTTTAACAAGGGAAGGTGTCAGATTCTGGCCCTGAGATGAGACAACCCTGGATGTGTGTATAGACTAGGGAATGAGGCTGAAAAGCAGCACTGCAGGAAGGGACATCAGGGTCCTGGTCTGTGGAAAGCTGAACATGAGTCAGCAGTGCCCTGGCAGCCAGGAGGGCCACCCATGTCCTGGGAGGCATCAGGGACAGCATGGCCAGCCAGGCAAGGGAGGGGATTGTCCTGCACTGGGGCAGCCTCACCTTGAGTGCTGGGGGCAGCTCTGGTGCCACAGTAAAAGAGGGTAAAGAGGATGCCCCCTGCCCAAAGGAGGGTGGTGAGGAGGATGAGGTGTCTGGAGGGGAAGCCATGTGAGCAGTGGCTGAGGTCACTTGGTCTGTTTAGCCTGACTGAGGGGAGATCTCATTGTGGTCTTCAGCATCCTCATGAGGGGAAGAGGAGGGGCAGGCACTGACCTCTTCTCTGTGGTGACAGTGACAGGACTCACAGGAATGGCCTGAAGCTGTGTCAGGGGAGGTTTAGGCTGGATATCAGGAAAAGGTTCTTCACCCGGAGGGTGTTTGGGCACTGGTAGAGCCTCCCCAAGGAAGTGGTCACAGCACCAAGCCTGACAGTGTTCAAGAAGTATTTGGACAATGCTCTCAGGCACATGGTGTGATTCTTGGGATGGTCAGGAGTTGAACTTCAATGATCCTATTGACCCATTCCAATTCAGTGTATCCCATGATTCCATGATTTGACTTCTTTTGTGCCATTAGACAGATACATAGCAACAAGATTGACAGTGAGTCCAAGGGACTAATATTATTTAGTGCATTTAGCAAAGAAAATAAAAGTATTTCTCAGAAGATACTGTTCAGCCTGATGGAAACCAGGGGAAATCTCCAGCCTGAGCCTTGACAAAGCCAGTTCTGAGCTCAGACTGGGCTGCTCAGGACTTCAGCCATTCGGGCCATGAAAGCCCCAAGGATGTTATCAGCCCAACCATGCCGGGCTATATCCATGCTGCCAGGCTGTCCTCATAGCTTCAGCCTGAGCTCTCTCTGCTTCAGCTTTGCTGCTGCCTCACCCCCATACCATGCACTGCTGTGAACAGCCCAGCTGCATCTCCTCTCTTCCTCCCCTTGGTGCCAGGGATGCTGTTTGGTGCCCCCAAAGCTGCTGCTGCCCTGGCTGAACCAGCCCTGGTTCCACAGCCTCTCAGTGATCCTCTGCTGAACTCAGTCATCTTTGTCAGCTTCTTTCCTGTGCTTTGCTGCTCCAAAATGTATGCACAACCATGGAGCAGAGGGGAACAATCACCTCCCTTGACCTACTCCTTGTGCCCCTGTTCTTCCAGCACAGTGTGCCACTAAGTGCCTTCTTTGCTGCCTATGTCAAAATAAATTGGTGACAGGGCTTGTAAACAAAAGACAGAATTTTAACAGAGTGCCAGAGCTGGAAACTGCATCTATTAAACATTTCCCCATTCTTCCCACCTCCAGCAATACCACCTCCACTTTATAAAATGAAGAGTTATTTTAAATAGTGGAACACTGCAGAAGACTGAAGAATAATACTCTTAGAAAAATCTAAATTTTTCAACTGATAAGTTTAAAAAGGATTTTTGTCAGGTGTGTCAGAGCCTTACAAGAAGACTTTGCACACTCAGTTGCTCTCCTTCCAATATGTGTTCTTCAGTCAAGCCCCCACAGGTAGTTGATTTATTAATGGTTCAGATGTTTCCCTGTAAGTTAAATTAAATTTTTGAAATACTAGTTCTTATGAGACAAGAAGTAATTCTTTCAGATGAGAGGTTTAAGTAAATTCAGCTTCACAGAGGAAGTGTTTCAATGGTGAAAATTTCTGAAGTTTTTAAGTAGGGCAGATATGATATTCATAATAGTTTGAAGGCTTTAAAGTGCTACTTATTTTTCCTTTCAGTGTTTCTTTTTAGATGTTATTCAGCCTTTTCTCCCTTAAATTCTGTTTTCCCCCAATAGAGTAAAATTACAAAAAAACCCCAGTTGTTTGGATACAGACTCTTTTTTATTCTTATAAATAGAGAAATACTTATAAATACTTTAGTCAAAGTATTTGCCTTATGAAAATTGGAATGTGGGACTGAAGGGGACATCAGGAAGTCATCTAGCCCATCCTAGTACTCTGAAACACATATATTTATATCCTTGATTGTGTGTTACCTTTCTCTGATGTCTGTATTTTCATATTCTGCATTCATAGCCTGCATTGTATCTGAACAGGCTACAATGAAGCTTTTCCCCTATTACATAACTGCCTTTCTGGGAATGATATAAATTACCAGTTGTTTTTAACAAGAAAAGGAATTAATCATGTTTTCTTCATCTCAGACTGTTATGGATTTGAAGGCTGTTCTCATGCCCTATAAAATTTTTTTCTTCTAAACCAGGCAAACTTTATTTCTTATACTTTTCTCTTATTTCTTAATTCTCTCAGTTATGTTCAACTTAATTCTTTGCAACTCATGTACTTCTTCCAGTTAACTCTGCTTTGCAAGTATTGTTATATCCTCCGCATTACCATTGTTATCTCCTCTATATTACCATAACACAGAAAGACATTTGCTATTTTAAATACAGGGTTGCATTTGGGATTCTCTACTAAGTTTGAAGTCCCCTGTAGCCTTAGTTCTTCTCGTACTACTCATCAATCCTTCTCCATTTTCTGTGGGTGTATTTTGCTTTTTACTTCTGATATCTAGGACTGCATTTCTCTCTACTGTATTCTGTTACTCATATAACTTTTAACTTTTACCAGGTTTGTCTATTTATTTGTCTTATTCCAGCACTACTCTGTAGAGTACCTGCAAACCCTTCAGCTCAAAACTGTATTCATTTACTTGTGCTTTCAGATCCAACTTGTTTACTGAAAATACTGGGCACCACTTCCCCAAGTAAGTATTGTGAGCTGATGCCTCTTCCTTTTTTTTAGCAATAGCTGCAGTCTGCAGTTGAGGGTAGAGTTTGTATCTGCTGCACATACACTTCACAGCAATTTAGCTTAGACTATGGTTTGCCTATTTCATTTAGCACAGCCCTCTGGGACTCTACTGAAGACTTGCGTAGTCAAAATGCAACTTCAATATCAAGATAACATGGTAATGGTTACTGCTCTACTTTGCATGTAAATTAATTACTTTCTTCCTTTGTTTCAAATAATTGTACCCAAAATTTCTGTTCTTTTGCAAATCCTAATAATAGTGACTTAGGCAAAAATAAAACACTTCCATGTGTCCTTGAGATGCTGTCAGAGGTCTCATGTAGTCACACCACTACATTGTGCTCTCCATCCCTTCTGGTTTGATGCTTCAGGATATGCAGGGAAGCGTAAGGTAACGTTGGCTTTTCTGGTTTGGTTCTAATCTTGCTTCCTCTTATTTTTCTCTGTTGGAGTAGATCTAAAATAATTAAAAATCCAGCGGATAGGACAAGAATGACTCCTGCCATGTAGAAGCCTGCTCTGTAATCTCCAGTCATGTCCACAATCAGACCTGGAGAGAAACAAATGACAGGAATTTGATTGATGGAGAGCAGACGAATGTAATTTAGCTCAGCATTGTGAATATATCCTCTTACAAAGGCAGTGTACTGGCTACATACTTGTCTGGCAGATTTCTACACCATAGCACAGGACCATCACCCCAGTATAGCATTTTTCATTTTTGTGTTTTGGAACACAATTCATGTCTTATTGTTTTTCATTTGTGAATTACCAGTGAAAAAATACATTACACAGTTTTAAGTACTTTCCAGCCAAAAGTGTGGCAGACAGTGCAAGTGCAGGTATTGGCAGAAAGACAGACTGTGCAGCTGTGTATGTGAGCAGCTCCATGTTCTGTGGTGTAGCTGTCATGAGTTGCTGAAATTTGGACCATAACTACAGCATGAGCGAGTTTAAAGAAGGAAAGGACATTCATCTGCTGGAGACAAAATTGGAGAATTTGTCTGATGTGTTGTGGATTTCCAGTTCATTATTTTACAAAGAGTCACAGAAGCTAACAAAAGACCTTGGTTTTCAGGGACATTGAAGCCAACCAAAATATGTGATGCCATTGTGCATTATACTGAAAAATCTCTACAGTACAGCATTACAGTAGTAGCTCTGCAGAGGTGTGTCAGCTGCCCTGTGGGTATGATGGCACATTCCTTTGTGGGCTGATGAAGGTTGCTTGCTTTTGGGAAGTTTGTCCATGTTTAGGGTACTTCCTAGCCCACATTCTAAACTATGATCAGCCCTATACAGGCATAGGAATCATGAACTCAAATCTTTTAGATTTTACACTCAAAGGAGGAGAGGAGAGCTTGAGAGGCACTTAGGGTTCCCTGCTCTTCCATATATTCTTGGTAGTTCTCTAAATATACAAAAAGGGGCCACACTGATTCCCAGATAATAAGTACTAGTGACCAGCCACTATAAACTGTATTTTATTCAGATCTTTCCAACACATTTTCGATACTGTTCTGTTTCAAACCCTCTACAAATCTTCCTGATTCCTGTATTTTAAAAGTGAATTAAAATATTCCAGTATTCAGTTGGACTCATTTGCAACCCATTAGCAATGTCATTATCACAAAAGTCTCTTGTAGTGCGTGAACAATGGTCTTTGGATGAGGACTCAGATCTGCATTGCACAAGTCACAATGTTTTTTGTTTTTTGGTTTTTTTTTGCCATATCACTTTTTAAAGCCTCTACAGCTTGCAGTTCACTTGTCTTGTCTTTTTCCAAGATGACTATATCTTTTTGCCAGGCCATAAATCCATGTGCTGTCTCATTGTCTGCTCTCTCTTCCCACTGTTCTTATGTGCTGCCTTCCCTGTTTATTATACTAGCTGGCTCAAGTGCTGTCTAAAACCAGCAGGCATTTCTCTGAATATTTCCTTGAGGTTTGCATAGCCTAATGTTTCAGGCTGTTCAATTTGAACTTCTGTAGAAACCCTCCCAACAATACCAACATTTGTGCAACATCAGTAGTCTCAAATTTCAGTTTCTTCTCTGAAAGTGTGTGTCTGCTGCTTGTCCCAAAGGCGCACTTTCTTAGCTGAATAGTTGGAGGCCATCAAGTGGCATTATGTGGGATTCAGAAAGCAGGACAACCATGTGAACCCTGCCTTTTATCCCTCCTTTCTTGTTGTAAAGGTATCTCCAAAATCACACAGAAGAGAAGGAGCAGTGTATTTTGAGGAGGATTTAAACTGACTATTTGTTTTTATGTACTTCTTGGCTCAGATACCCCTGAAAAAAGGGGGAAAGTTGAGTGCAGATCCAGATCTTTTCAGTTCAGATTACCATTCCCCTTTCCTCTTTTAAACTGTATTTGGCAGTGAGTTGTCTTAACTTACCTGCAAGAGGAGGCCCCACAAAACCTCCAGTGCTTCGAATAAGCATGAAGAGTCCTAGGGCACTGTCAAATTCTGGCATGCCTACAACATCTACTAGCACTGTAATGTGAATGGCGACTGTTGTGCCAAAGAAGAATCCATAGAAGCCAGTGAATATTGCCAGGGAAAGGTAATTGTTAGCCAGTGGCAAGAGCATCAGGGAAGTACTGATCAATGTAATCGCCATTGCCAGTAAATGAATGCTTTTGGTAACGTGGAGGTTGGCATACCAGCCACACAGCAATCTGCCTCCAAAGTCCACCATAGCCAAAATGGATAGGAGGGATGCAGTCCAGGATTCATCTATTCCCAGGCTGTAGCTAAGTGGAACTAAAAATAACGGAGGAACAAAAAAACTCATAGCAGCTAATATACCAAAAATGGCATAAAGTACAAATTCTGGCTGCCTCACAAGCATCCAGTTGAAGGTTTTGGGCGTGATGGGAGACTGATCTTCTTTGTCTGTCCTGGATGCACCATTGCCAGATGGTGTTTCATTTTCACAATGGCTGGCCTCAAGGAAGTAGCTGCTTGCCAGGGGTCGCATCAGTACTCCACAGACACAAATATTGAGTTGGATGCCACCTATGATCAAGAGGGCACCTTTCCATCCATATTGACCAATCAACCACTGGAAAAATGGCCCAAACATGAATGCAAAGGCACATTCTCCAGCACTGGCAATAGCATTGGCCAAAGCCCTTTTCTTGGAGAAATAGTGGCTAACGATGCTAATGGCTGGTGTCCACGAAAAAGAAATGCCAAGACCTGAAAAACACCAATAGAAACAGCACAGGTTAGACACCATTAAGGTATTTTGTGAAGGTAGAAATTTAGCAGTCAGTGCTTCTACATTTGCAAAGTTAAAAAGTGTTAGAAAGAAAACATTTTTGCCTAGAAGAAGCATGAGCTTAGCTGGAGTAGGTGTAAGGTTATATTTGTGACTATATTGTATTCTGTACATTGTATATATTCAAGTGAAAAAGCAGAACATGAAGTATATACATTATTACATTCTCACTTAAAAAAAAAAAAAAAAAGGAAAAGAAGTTGGTCTCACAGCTTTGCCAGTGCATGAGAAATCCCATGGTTATGAGGCTGAAGCTAGGCAGATCCCAGTGTCCATGCTGTGTGTGTTAAGGCTGGTACTAGGTCAGACCAGCAGATTAAGCTGAGCTGTATTCAGGGTAGACGTGAGTGAGGTGGCACATGAGGCAAATTGGTGTATTGCCTCTATTTGCTCTTCATTTTCTTGCTTAACTGCTTTGAGCAAATTTCAAACCTGCTTTAACTTAGAGTTATTTTGATGGCTCCCTAGACTCTTTGGCAGCCCAGGACTGCCAAAGGGTTCGAATTCCAGACATTTTCTCAGGCATGCAGTGCGGAATTCAGAATGGTTTATTTTATTCCCTGCTAGGTTTTCTTCCTGCTCCAGGAAAATCTGCTAGCTGTTGGAGACAATTATCTGGCCTGGTTTTGCCTGAAGTAAAGGAAAGGATTGGAATAAAATGAAAGCCTGGGACTCTGTTCAAACCATAAGATAAGCTGATAGAAAGTATAGAATTTGGGATCTCCCTGTCTTTTTACTTCAGTTCCCTTTATGAAGTTTTTTAAACCTTCACAAAGCTCTTATCTCTGAATGAAAACAGAACACTTAATTTTCTGCTTGTATATAATTTGCAAGTGTAAATTATTGGCATCTAAATATTTGTCTTCTTTGTTGTTGCAGATTTCCTGTACAAACTCTTACTTCCCGAGTGAAATGGGAGGGAAATCACTTTTAAAGAACATTGCTTGTTCTGGCTGCTCATAAAGTCAAAATAGATACCAGGTTTTAAAACTCCTACCACTAGCACCCTCAAATAACGTTGCTGGTGGAAGAAAGCCATAAAGCCATAAATTCATACCCTGTAGGAAGCCAGTTGTTGCAAACAACCAGACCATGTTGAGTCCAAAAAATCCCAATGCCATTCCTGAAAAAGCCAGAAGTCCTCCAGTGATCACAACTCTCCGATGGGTATATTGTACACACAGTGAACTGGCAACAGGGGCTAGATAAGCAGAAAAATCAGAGAAAGAAAAATACATTAGAACATTAATCTGATCAACATGGCCAAATAAATAAAACATTTTGATGATGACTGCCCTTATAATGCTTGACACAAACAGCCTTAATTCTGCTGGATGGGGTAGGAGGTCAATCAAAATTTCAAAATTTTATCCTTGCTGATAGAGAAATTAGTGTTCCTGAGGCACAGATTTGAAAATATATTCACATATATTCTCTTTTAAAGCGAAAGAGCATTTTAGTGCCTTCCTTGTAGTTGGACAGTTCTACTGACTTTCGTGTAAGGATACAACTACCAACAAGACAGAACCTCATGGAATGTTTTAGCAGAAGGTGAAACTTCAGCCACGGAATCTATAGGTTCATCTATAAAAATTGTATTATTGAGAATATGTTATTGATATGTCTGACATGAAAACTTTCTGGAGAAAACTAATTTTGTTTTCTAGAATTTTGCAAAAATCAACCCTTAATGGAATTTTAAAGTTTATAAAGGACCAAAAATTAGGGTTTATTTTGTGGGTAATACTTTTTACAGAAAATTGGCAGTTCATTTCTTAAATCTTTATTTAGTGGTAGAGTTTCTCACAACAGAGTGCGGGGCTCTTCAACACAAGGGCAAAGGTGCAGGTGGTACAGATCTGATGGTGCAGCAGTCTACTTTGGTCTCTAGTGAGTGTCTGGAAACACCTGAAATGTCAGAGATATTTTTGCTTAATGAAGAATAGTTTTACTGCCTGGCTGTTTTTTCCATCAGCATCACGAGGCGAGGTCAAAGCCGCAGGATTTCTTTAAATGGCCGTGGCCACTAGGGGGTTCCCAAGTGCCACCTGGCATGAACCCGCTCCCTAAAATCTGTTAAATATCCTGGGAACTGGAGCTCATGCATAAAACCGAATTCAGTTAACAAGGACCACGCTTCTAAATTTAAATACGTAGGAAGACAATTATTAAAAGAGAGCAGCCAGCAAGGAAGGTTTCGTAGTAGTTTGTAGGGGCAGGTTGTTGTACATTAACCTGTGCTAATCAGAATTAAGAGAATTTGGTAGCGAGGATGAGTGAAATAAACCTGACAGAGTACTAGTTGTTGCAAAATCTTCAGCATGTACATTGCCTGACAGCAGAAAGACCTGGCAGGAGTTACACAAACTTCAAATGTCTCATCAGGTTTTACAGCAAAAATCTGATAATTTTATAAACATGTTAAAATGATACTGACATTCAGTCATTATCCTAAGATGTAGTTCATGAGACATGATAAAGTACATGCAGTTGGTGAATCATAAAATATGATGAAAAGAAGAAGAGAAAAGTAGACACAGGGTAACATCCATGAAAGTTCTTGAAGACAAGAAAAAGGTCTGCAGCTGGAGCAGAAATATTACCAAATCTCATTTCTTACATAGTAAATAAGAAGAATAAACAGGCAGAAATTAAACATGGAGTAGCAAGAGAATGAAAGAAGCTAGGCACAGAACTGGAAATGGGTAAAATAGCTCGACTCCAGAGTTTGAAAGGACAAGGGCAACACACAGAAAATGCACAAGCAATGGAAAGGGATGACAACAAGAGTACAAAGAGAAAGGTGTTGGGAGGTGTACATCGTAGCCAGAGAAGGCTGGTGAAGGTGATGGGGAGAATCCTTGCTGTGGTAAACTGAACAGCCTGTTTTGCAAGTGCAGACCTTGGGAGTGGAAGCACATGCTCTCCTTCAATACAAGAAACAGACCTGCCGTTGAAAGGATCCAAATAGGAAAAAATAATAATTCAGTGATCATCCTCCTACTGAGCCAAGTGACACTTAAGGTTTCCCAGAGACAGACATTAAGAAAGACTAAGCAAGCTGGGAAACATGCTCAAAGAACTGGAGGCTCAGGTGATTTTCATCAGGAAGTTTCTGGTCCCTATAAATGAAGCAAAGGCAGAAGAAGATGAAGACAATTATGTATTGACCTGAGACATTTATAAACTACTATACAGAGGGGGTTTGGAATGTTTGACCACCAAGCTTCATTCACTGAAAGAGGATTATTTTCAATGGATTTCAAAGGATGAAAAGCAACTTCTGCTGAAAATTATAGCTGCCTTCCTTGAAGTAGTCTGGCCTCCCATGTGGCTAGGCAATTTGTTTTTCTCTGGTTTATACTTAATATTATTGTATTATATGCTCTATTCCTTCATACATTCCTATACAATGAAAATATATGCTATAACAAAACAAAACCTAAAACAGGACTGTTAAGTTTTTCCCTCCTATGCTGGCTTTTTCTTCTCGTGAACTTCAGATGCCTGAATGACACAATAGTATCACAATATGTCAGTGATACATCTGTTTTGTTAACCAAATTGATAGATTACCATTTATTAATTTCTGTGGTCTGTGAAGCAGGTTTTTCAATTTTTTTTTCAGTTAATTATACCTGTCACTGCAAAGCAGGCATCAAGGATAGCAGTTTATGAAACTGATAAAATCTTTTCAACTCATGACTTATTTTATCTTTTTACTTTGACTTTGGGTTACTCTTTTTTCCTTCTGAATACATTTTTCAAAGAGAGATCAGTTGCTCTTGATGTTTGGAAATACTGGAGTTCCAAGCAATAATACTGATAGGTGTGGACTGAGTAGGATGCATGTAATTATACAGTGTCTATGCAAAGAATTGTCTTCAGAGAGAAAATTATGATAGCATTTATTATGTAAGGATATTTACCTATAGCAACCATATATCTCTATGAGAATATGCAGAGCAGATTTCAGAAATTCTGTACAGTTCAAGCCTGCACATGTTTGGAATCTTCACATCATGTGAAGGATCATGCAGTTTGCAGGGCACTAGGGACTCTCTAAACAACCCAGCTGAGTCAAATGCACTATGTTTCTTATTTTTCCCTCCTTCATTTGATGTGATGTGGTATTTGACCTCACTGCCTTTGACTGGGATATTTCACTCTATCTTCCCCTACTCTCTGCTTGCATGGTCATGTCTTTATTGAGTTCTCTCTGTGTGAATAGATTGTTTTTTTCTTTTTAACCCTGTGAGTCTTCTGGTAGACCAGTAACTTGGAATCATAGTAAGAGGGGTGAAGAAGACATAGAGTTGGTAAGACATGCAAAGAAAGGGGATCTTGGTGAATATAAAATGAAGTGCGAAAAAGCAGGACTGAAAATAATTGTGGTAGCAGATGGCTTACCTGATGGATGGGGTCACAGTCCTTGTATTTTGAAGTACTTTGAAAAAGTACTTCAGACAGTCACACTGAGATCAGTGAGCTTGCACAAACTGTTTTAAGATCTTGATTCAACAAGCTCTGTGCCTATTATTCCTAATGAGTTTAACTCAAAGCCTGTAGTGAAACTTAATCATGAGTTTAGGTACATGATGTTTTTCAAGCAATCAGATTCCTATTTTATAGAGTTTTGTTATTAACCCATTCCATATATGAGGCAGTAAATGCCAATTTTCTGAAATTTTTCTGTATTTTCTGTAGAGACTTCTGGAGGAAGTCTAGACCTTATATGTTGCTGGGATTGGGTTTTTGTTAAGGAAGATTTCCAAACTTTCTCAGGTAGTTAATATTAAAATAAAATGCTAGAGGAGTACTACTACCTACCTCCTAAATGAAAGACGGTAATGGTTACTGATGTGATCCAAGAAGTGGTGCTTGCAAGTTCATCAAAGTGCTGCTGGATTTCAACAAAGAACAGACCAAAAGTCTTGAGGACAGCAGCAGTAAGGCCCATCACCATGAAGGCTGACACTACCACAACCCATCCATAGCCACCGTCGGGTGGACTGCTGTCTTTAGCCTGCATCTTTTTTAATTCTTAGTTCTTCTCTGGTGTTTGGATTGTTTTTTTCTTTTTTTTTTTTTTTTTCTGGAGTGGTAGTGATGGTGATGAGGTTTTTTAACAGATCTGCAAATTGGTAGAAGGCCCATGGTTAAAGAAATTAATTAAAATATTCTAGGAATGGCTTACACAAGTAATTATCAAGTTAAAATACAACATTCATTACAGGGGTTTGACTGAAAATATTACCTGGGTAACAGAGGTCTGAAGAGACAGAAAGAAATTTTTTAAAAAATTCAAGTACAGAGTTAAGAAAACAAAAGAAGCATGCAGATGTGAACCAAGGAGAGAAGATAATGGGAAGATATTCAGACATGAAGATTTTCAAAGATAGAAGAATTTTAGGGTCCTCAACATTTTAGTATTTATAAATATTACTCATTCCTGCAATGCCAAGCATTTTTGCCAAAACAGTGTGCATCCATCCTTGCAAAGATTTATTCATAGGCAAGAACATCTTATTAAGCACAAAACTGAAACAGCATATTTCCCTTTAAAAGTTTTGTAATAAACATGCAGCAATCATGCAGTGTATGGAGGATCTGGGATCTGGCTGGAGGGAGAGAAACATTCATACATTTTTCTGGTATCTTCATGGACACTAAATGCTGAGCAGGGACGTTGTATAAGACACAGAAAACCAAAAAGACCTATCTCAGGAGGAGAATGGGAAACTTGAGATAGCTGAAGATATACTATACTTAAAATTCTCTACCCTGTGTGCACCTGGGAAAAATGAGCTGCATGAGGGAACCCATACCACTTGAAGTTATCCAGTACAAAGAAGCAGTCACTAGTCCTGTGATTTGCTCCCATGATCTCAGGAGGATCTGAATCACTGCAGCAGGGTGGGGAGGAGAAGCCATGAGAGCCTTGTAGGGATCAGAAACAAAATCATTCTACTGCCCCATATCTGGACTGACATGGCACTGGACTCATTTGCACATCTTAAAAAATCTTAGAACAGCCACAAGAGAGAGAGAGACTGCCTTGTGTTGAGGTCTGTATGAAAGAATCAGGTTTTCATTCCCACAGTTTCTGGGGTCATCTTAAGCAAGTTGTCAGATCTTGCTGTGACTGTTTTCTCAGTTGTCAAATGAAGCTAATACTTTCAAAGGTCATACATTTTGTTAAGTTGGAAGCATTAATACTTGTATTAGTGCTCAGTTTACTATAAGAAAATATAGAAATTATATCAAGCTGTAGCTGTAGCATTCTGACAATGCTGAGCTCAAGTAGCATGGTCATAATTTTGTTTGAGGCTTGGAAGAACACAAAAAGGACACAAGACTCAAGCTAAATGAGCCTGCCTAGGGAGAGTGATACTGATATTTCTGCATTCTGCATAGACATGCCTGGGCAAGGGATTATAATTTGGGCCACAAGACAGATAGAAGAAATCCTGCTGCTTACCAGGCAACACCCAGACTAAAACAGGCATGATAAAATCTGCATGACACCACCCAGCACTCTTCACTTTCATTAGGCAAACTCTGTCCCAGGAGGAGAATAAATTGGGCCTTACTGCTCACAAAACTTAAATGGACAGCATGTTTCCTTATGACAAATATATCTTTTATGTCACAGCTCAGAATTCATCTTTCAGTTCCTTTTAATGATCACAATGTTACATGTAACTCCCAAATAAAATTACTATTTCAGTTCCATTATTAATTAATGAGGTAGTTATTTTCCAGCAGCCCTATGGATTCGAAAGCAGTGCAGCTGAATACTATAGGGAATTGCTGCAATGCCTGAACAGGGTAGAAGAAAGCATAGATACTACAATAAGGGAACATGTTTCTGACACCACACTTTGCTTTCTTCCTCCTTCACTTGCAAGAGAAAGTTTATTATAAGATTATGTAATTGCAAATATGCTAAACTGAAAAAAGCTACATAGGATCTCCTTTGGCTCTTAACTATTGAGTAATGGTAAACAGTAAGGTATTAATATCCTCACTTACCCATTTTGTCCCTGGAGCTAACCTTCTAAATAAAAAGGAGTACCTGTAGGGTACTGCTCCTTCTGTTGCGCCTGGTCATACACACGGTGCCTCAAAGATGTAAAGCTGTGCCTGGAAGCATAAGCATTCTGTCTAGCATCCCACTGACTCCTGCCTCCAAAATTTCTCATGGCAGCTGGAACAGATGTTCTGTGAGACATGGACTTAAATCAGGAAAGCCTGTGCTTGGTGTCTGCATCAGCAAGAGCAGACAGCTCTGTTAGTAGTGTTATTATGCTCATGGCAAATTTTGCCAGCAAGAACACGCAGGCAAGAGTGCAACCTTTATCTTTGCACCTGGATAGCTACAAAGACACTTTCTGAGGCAATGGGGCTGTTCCTCTATTCATGCTCTACAAGTTCTCCAAGCTATTTCTGTTTTGATTCATGCCAATGATTCAAAAAGCTTATCAGACAATAATAAAAATAAATTATAAAATGCTTATCTCATTGCTTGCATTTTAGGGTGCCACATAAACTTGTGAAGATGGATACTTGTTCTACTTGGTTATCTTGTGCTCCATGTTCTAATTTACTTTTTACAAAAGAGCAAATGAGTTGAATACATTTGCTGCACATTGCAAAACAACCTGGTGGTGGAATCAAGAAAAAACTCTTGTTAGTATGAATCGTAAACTTGTTGTTTTCATGCAACTCATATTTAACACTCCCCAAAAAATGTATTCACTGTCTCTAAATGGAGGCTGAATGGGCTCCTTGTGAGCTGGTGATACTTTACAGATATAGGTCCCCCAAGAAGACAAAAATGGGCAAGTATTAAGTTTTTCCACATTTAGATTTAAAAAAATGTGACTTTGTAATGGGTTTTTGGTTTGGGTTTCCAGTGCAAATATTACCTTTGATTTGGCCTTAGGAAAAAAAAAAAAAGAGAGAAAAGGCAGAAAAACATACTTAATATACATAGACACAAAAGTACTTTTACCAAGACTGATACCTTGAAACAGCAGCTATGTAAAACTAAGTACAAAATATAGCTTTAATAAATTAACAACAGATTAAATAATATAGTCGTGTTTTATTGGTTGTATTAGAAGAAAGACGGAAAGAAACAAAGAAATCAATTGTAATTTATGCTGAAACTCCTCCACACATGTGACTTGGTACACAGGCAAGGATCAGGCTATGTTTGTCATATTCAGATACCTTATAATTTTCATCTAACACTCAGACTGGCTCTGCTGATGCTCATCTGTCACTACATCTTCAACTACAGTAGGGTCGTACTAGTTACTCAGACACAAATTCAGGAGGAATTCTTCATTGAATTTTCCTTTCTAACTTCACAGCATCATTTTCGGAGTCAGTCTAATGAGTATGATCTATAGCAGTTAACTGACAAAGCATATTAGGGTGGTAAAGAGGGGCTGAATGCTATGAGCAACCAGTTAGAAGTAACAAAAATAAAGTGTAGCATCAAGAAATTACCTTATTCAGCCAAGGTTTGTACGGGATATGAAGCTTTTCCTTCACCTTCCACTTGTATGTAAGTTCTTGAGTTGTGCTGCAAAGTACCAGGTCATCTTTCTCATCTGAGCTACCATCTGGCTAGCTGAACAAACCAATTTGTCTCCTTCAGGATGTGTAAGCATTGGATTTTATAAGAATCCCGTCCTCCCCTCCTCAAAAATCATTTGACTCCACCTACACTCACAAAAACAAAGTTCTGTGCTGACTAGAGATCAGAGAAACAAAATCAGGAATGGGTGGAGGAAACTTACAAGAGGAATGCAGATTTTGTTATTTATCTGCACTATACTTACACTAGGCTTGGACTACTGTCCATGTTTTCTACTGAACTCAACTATGGTACCAACCAGAAAGTTCAGATGCGTCAGCTGGTTTCAGACTGCCCTGTGTTCTGGGGCATTTACTGCAAATGTTTATTCAAATTTGAAATTCATTTGTGGCTTCCCTGTGCTTGTGCTGTTGGGCAGATGTTGGCTGCAGTGAGCATCACATAGCCTGCAGCAACTACAGAAGTTACAGGAAGCTTGAATGTGCTCTCCTGAGCATGATATATGCATATTTGAACCTTTCACCACACCAGAGCAGTCCTTTACTTGTGTGATTTAAGAGCCCACAGTTAAATACTGCTGGTCCTTGTAAAACTTTTCTTTCCAGCTCTCACTGTTGGTTTATTGGAACTTATTCCCTTTCCTACCAATTTACCTTGCACAAAAGTTGTGGTCATCCCACTGCTATTGTAATTGTTGGGAGGGCAGGGTGGGCAGTAGCTTGTTCCATTTTGTAGTATTTTTATTTACATGTTTGTATACTTACTTTATAACTTGATTAATAATCTGTGTAGTTTGTGTGTGCTAGGGGAAGTATAAATATACAGTTGACATGCATAACTAGAGAAACAGATATATTTCATATTTTGGCATATTTGAATGCCAAGCCAGCAAGTTTGCAACATGACATTCTAATTTTCTTTTGTTGGGAAAACTATTTAGGGTATGTTTTAGGGCTGGAGAAGATAAAAATATGGCAAAGGAAAATTATGGGGCAGTTTTTGAGGTGGAATGAGTGTGCAGTCTTGATAGAAAAGTTGCTGCCACTCCTACTTCACCTTCTCGCTACCATGTGAGTTTTCATGCAGTGAACTAGACTGGTGAACTGACCCTGCTGTTCACTACACTGGAGCAGTTTCCCAATTTGGCAAAATTAATTGTGTGCTTTTACATTGCAGAAGGCAGGAAAAAAAAAAAAAAAAGGTAGCCAGGAATGAAACTTGACAGATGCTTAATCCAGAGGCGAAATTCACATGGTGGTTGTATACAACCAGTGTATTCATTGTGAGGCCACCACAGTCTGACCCATGATGTTGCTGGGCACAGGGGTGTGACTGATTGGCCTGCAGTTCCACTGGTTCCTTATTGCTTCACTAAAAACAGTGGTTATGCTTCCCCTTTGCCAGTCATTGACAGCTCCACCAGCTTCACTGCCACGACTTCTCAGATGTGACATTGTGGCTCAGCCACTTCCTCTGCCCAATCCCTCAGAGCCCATGGCCCACCCAGTGAGCCTCCCGGTGTTTCTGCTTGACTTCTTCATTGTCAGGATGCTTGGAATAGGTGGCCCTTGAATATTATATTACCGTCATGGGAATTCAAGTCTATGGACAAAATAATGAAGTCTGGAATATTTCACTGGTCAGTCCATCACATAATTTGTAACATTATATTCACTGATTTCACTGGGGATTATGTGCAAAGGAATATTGTCATGGCCTGTCATGACTCTCTCTTAAAACCAAAATGATCTTAGCAGTACTACACTGAATGTTCATTTTCTACAGTCCTTCCTACTAAATATATTTAGTCTTTACTCATACTAAATAGTTTGTGTTATCCAGAACTACTATTGTGCATTAATAGCAGAGTACATTTTGCTCATCTGATCAGGCCAAAATATTTTCACAATTTTCTGTCAACATACAGAAGAAATTTTATGCTATACCTGTGTACAGTACTTCTCCTTAGTCATCTATTGGTTTTCTCCACATGTTAAATTTACAAATAAAATTTAAGTATCTTTCATTTCTACTTAAAAAGCAAGAAAAAAAATTGTAGACTGCGCTTCTATTAAACTGCTTACATTATTTGTTGTTCAACATTTAAGCATCTTAGAAAACTCTTACAAGAACTTCCATGTTTTCATTCACACACTGGAGGGAAAAAAGTTTATTTCAGGTAGCAAGAAGAGTCACTTCTCCTCAGATCTATTTTGTCAGCTCAGCTTTCACAAGTTCCAAGTTAGCTTCCACGTTAAGTGCTTGAGTAAGCACGAAATACATTCACAGGCAGACTGCTCCATGAAATATTTGGTGTAGAGTGAAATGAGAATCTTCCTGGAACATCTGTACTTCAATAACTGTGATTCATGATTATGAAGAGATTATGCCTCAATGCTGTCCTGTCAAGTCATAAAGAATATATTGAACCATTCAGGAATTGTGTGTCTTGGCTTTTATTACCAGGCTCATGGAATGAAATCAGCAACGGTTGAAACAGAGGCTCGATATATATGTATTTCTAAAATGCCTTTTTCTCAGTATTCTCAAAACTGAAAGTAGTGATTGTGTTCTTGGCTGCTGTAAATAATTTCATCTCTACTGATTTCAAAATACTTTTACTTCACTCCTTTCACCACCAGAGAATTTCTTCATTGATTTCTCAATGGGAACAGGGCTGTCTTTGAAGAAGACACAACATACCTACCTATTGCCTCTTAATTGTTATTATTGCAGTATACATAAAATATGAGAAACAAGTCTCTGAAATGAAGTCCTTATTTAAATAAACGGCACAAATGTAGAAAGCTAGCCTGGCATAAATACACACAGATTCTTGCAAAGTCTCCTCATAGTCAGCTGTGCTCAGATGGAATGCAGAGAGCTTATTGAAACCATGCCTCCATGCCTCATCAGTCTTTTGTGGTGATCATGCTTGTCCCTCTGCTTGGAACTACCTGCTCTTATCACATACATCTTCTTTTTTTTTTTTTTTTTTGACCAAAGCCTTCTCACAGCATTGATAAACAGATAGTAAGCCAAGATAAAACCCTCCCGGTCATATGATCCATCAGCTAAGAGAATATTGATTGAAATGACTGAATCAAAATGACTTTGTTTGATTTGTGGTGTTAAGTGATTGCTAATGTAACAGAGGTAGCCTGAACATAAATATTCAGAGAACTGTGTGGAGGAGAGGTAGCATATGAAAAGACTGGAAAACTGTTATGTAAGAAATAAACAGGCTGACATCACTGCCAAAATAGCTGAAATGGGATGATAAATGAACCTGGGTAACTTATGTGGATGAATACAGAGGTACTTAAAGTCTTGAAGGAAAAAAATAATCTTGATATGATTAGAGAAGAAGAACCAGGGTGGTGATTCAGTTGCATAAAGTTAGGATTACAAAAGAGGTGTGTTTTGTGGAGACAGGATAGCTGGCAGTGATAGCTGGCAGATATCAGAGGGGCTAAAGAGCAGAAAGAGGTAGCAAATAAGCGAGTGATTAGGGCTTGTCAGAAGTTGTCAGACTGTAAAAAGTGAGCTATTTAACAAATAAAAGAAGAATAAGTGGCTTGGTTTTGGACTGGTTCTGGTTATCTGATTACCAGTTAAAAAAATTCTTATTAGTTTAAGATAGACTGAAGTTTTACAGGCTGGGAGCAAATGAAGAAAAAGCTGTCCTGAAATTACAGTCAGGTGTGCTGATTGCTCCCTTCCCCAGGGAAACATCAATCCCTGGCCTCCCTTTATAACAAAGGAAATGCTCAGCCTGCATGGAATGGGGTGCAGAGTATCTACAGGGACGAGGGTGTCATAGAGCCTGACTTGCCTGCAAGTGGAGGGTATATTTATCTGAACAAAGGTTGTTTGTTTTGTTTTTCAACAAGCAAGAATCAGCTCATTTTCTCTGTGTAATTCTTGGCTGTCATTATAGTGTCCATTACAAAATTATAGGGTAAGAAGAGGAGGGGACACAGGAAATGAGTACTGCTAAACAGGGAAGAGGGTAATGCACTGCTTACCAAATCAAAATGGTCAAGTACAGTGCTGATGCAAACAAGAGTCTCTGTGCCCTATCAATCTAGCAGCATCTGTGGGTGGCTTCTCCCACTTCCTGCTCTGAAAAGAGTGAGCAGGGTCCAATTATTCTGCTTTAATTATAGCATGAAGGTGAAAATGCCCAATTCTTGGGTGTATCTGGAGTGTCAATAAGGCATTTTCTGTCTTCATACCTTAGGAAACAGATGGATGTGTTTGGCTAAATTAGCCCTAAATGTCCCACCATCGATGTCTGGGAAAGATTTTTGCAAGGATTCAGCTGAGAGCACAGACATCAAGGGATATAAGCTCATTAGACTTCCTGTCCTATTTTCTTAAACCAACCTGTGACACACTGTGCTAGGTGCTGTATTGTGGAATACAGGTGTGGAAAGATGATAAAGTGAGGAAATAAAGTCCAAAAAGAAGTGCCAGTTTCCTTGACAGCATGAAGCGTGCCTGTATAGAAGAGTTTTGAGAATGGACAACAGCTTGTATTGAACCGAATACAAGGCTACACAAGGCTGCCCTGTATTTCTATAAGGATAGATTATTAATATTTGAATATTCTTGAAAATATTCTTCCTAGTTTCATTTTTTTAAACTAGGATAGCATTTTTAAAACTGCCATAATAATGAAGAATGAAGAATGTGTGTTGACTCAGAGCAATACTGAACACTTTACAAAATTTGCAAGGCAAACATTTGCAGTACACAGAATAAGAACCAGGCCACAATTAAGAGATGGCAACTGGACTGTTGGTAGTAGTGCCCAAAAAATCCACCTTGAAGACAGGGCAGAAAATTGGTTTAATATGAGCTTCTAGTTATAACATTGTGGTTACAGGAGTGAGGTAACTGCCGGATAGATGGAAGAGATGAAAGATCTGTGCCTGAGGGAGGAATAAAGATCTAGCCCTATTGCAGCAGCAAGGCTCAGTGATCCAACATCATCTTCTGTGCAGGGAAGCAAGATTTTTCCAAGCCCGCATCTGTCACTAAGGAAAGGCTGACATAATAGGTCCTGGAAACTCAGAATGTAAAATCTGATTCTTCTTCCTCACAGAGTTTCCTGCTGAGTCCAAATTTCATTGAAAGCT